ACCTATGATTTTTTTTGTCATCAATATTTTTTTCTTTCTTCAGCTCAATTAATGGTGTTGAATACTTTTGTTTACTTTTTGTTTTATCTTCTGGTAAACTTAAGTGGATGAATTGATTCGGATCCATCTCAAAGTATTGAATGCGTGTTTAGTAAGTTCTTAGTACTCAAATCAGCAAGACTCTATATAGCATTGTTTGTTTCATTTTTAGTACTTGCGTGTGATTAAAATTAATGTTTGACTTTGAAAAATAATTTTAAGGAAAATAAAATAAAACTCAAACAAAAACATAATTGACATTCATAGTTTTTTTTTCTTAATTAGGACCGGTATATTTTCTTAAAATATATTTTGTAAAAAGGGTAAATAACACATAACGTTCACACATTTCACTGTTATTGTGGAAAATATCACTACTTTTCATTTTTTGACATTTTCACCTTTCATTGTGCGAAAAGTTTTTTCATCAATTTTCTCAATTAAAAATTGTGAAATGACGAATATATCATTCTTTTTAAATAAAAAGAAGAAGAAAAACTAATTGCAATCATAATCCAATTTTTTTTAAAGAAAACGCAAAAGAGTTCACAAATAAATTATTAAAAGGGTAATTAGCACATAATGTATCCACCTTTCATTATTATAGCGGAAAACGTCTCTACCTTTTTTTTTCACTCTTAATTACACATTTGATTGCGCAAATTATCATTTTTATTCATTTTCATTTAATTTCTCAATAAAAAGCTGTTGAATGATGAATATACCTTACTATTTTAATAAAAATTAAAGAAAATTATTTTTTTAATTTCTAATTTTTTAATAATTTATTTGGGATTCGTTTGCACTATTTAATTTTTTTAATTGGGACCCGTTTGCACTTAAAAATAAATAAATTAATTTTCAAATTTTTAATAATTTATTTGGAACTCGTTTGCGCCTTTAAAAAAACTTGGAACTATTGTTACAATTCATTCTTTAGCTTTTTTAATTAAATATGAGGGTATATTTATCATTTCACAACTTTTTATTGAGAAATTGAATGAAAATAGATAGAAATGATGGTTCAATTGTTCAAATGTATAATTAAGGGTGAAAATTTTTTTTTAAAAAGAAGAAAGATATGGACGTTTTTCGCAATAATAGTGAAATGTATGGATATTATATACTAATTACCCTTTTAATAATTTATTTGTGACATATTTGAGTTTTTTAGAAAAATCAGGACTGTGATTGCAATTAATTTTTTCTGTTTATTTAAAAACAAAGGTATATTAGTCATTTCACAATTTTTAATTGAGAAAATGGATGAAAATAACATTTTGGGCCATGAAATGTGGAAATAAAGGTGAAAATGCAAAAATAAAATAAAAAGTAAAGACGTTTTCCATAATAGTAGTGAAAGGTGAGGACGTTATGTTCTAATTACCCTTGTAAAAATAATATTTTTAGAGAATCTATAATTAAAAAGTACTGAAAAATTATGGATTCATATATAAAATTATTTTATTGGGAAAATACGTGATTAAAAATAAGTTAAAAGAAAAATAAATTTTTAAAAATTTGTACTAAGGGTATAGTCCACCGTACTATTTAATCCACTCAAATCGTACTAGACAGTACGACAAGCATATTACTCTTGTCGAGACGTGATTACCAGGAGAGTCACATTTTGTTGTTCTCTTTGGAGAAATTTTGAAATGGAAGTACAATAATAGACTACAAAATATGGATATTTCAGCTAAGGACTCCATA